GTGTCTGTGTGCGTGCGTGTCTGTGTGCGTGCGTGTCTGTGTGCGTGCGTGTCTGTCTGTGTGCGTGCGTGTCTGTCTGTGTGTGTCTGTGTGTGTGTGTAACATTAAGGTACTTCTAGCTGTGTAGTAACTTCCCCAAAGCACACTTGAGCCTCCTGTCCTGACCCCCCCAGGCGGAGCTCTCCCCGTCGCTGCTCTCCTCGCCCTCCCTGCAGACCAGTGGCATGGACCTCCCTCCCCAGGAGTTGAAGCCTGTGGGTACACAGAGCCCCCAGCCCTTAGAGCCCCAGGACTGCGGGCCCGAAGACTCAGGGGAGGTGGGGCTTGAGGGGGCAGTGGACCCGCCTCCTCCGGACCCCCCTGCCCCGTCATACCCGTCCTGGGTGAAGAGTCCGGAGGGGGCGGGCCTCTCCTTCTCCACGGTGAACTCCAATCTACGCGACCTGACCCCCTCCCACACGCTGGAGCCGGGGGCCTTCCGAGCAGATTCCGGCTTGAGTTTCAGGGAGGGGGGGCTCTTCTACACCTGCGCCGACGAGGGGGGCACCGTGGCCATGGCGCGTTCTCTGGGGGGGGACCTGCTGACCCACACCCCCCCGCAGAAAAAGAAGGTGAGAAGTGATTAGTGTTGTAGCGTTATCAGATAATTTAGACAAATGTAGAACGTAGACTGCTGTCTTTTGCTAATTGGGTCACATGACAGATCAGCCAGTGAGTGGTGCTACTGGTGTCAGGTTTGGCACTGGTTTGCTGTAGATTTGGAGCTGGGGGGTCCGTCTACCCCTTCTGGCCCGACTCACCCCCGGCGTCTGCTCCTAGGTGTCGCTTCTGGAGTATCGGAAACGCCAGCGGGAGGCCCAGCGCAGCGGCTCCAAGGTGGACTGCGACTCTCCTGGCTCTGCAGTGCCCCATCTGGTGGGACTGTGCGGCGGCAGTGCTGTGGAAGGCTGCCCTGTCGCTGTCGATGTGGCTCCAGAGCCAGGCATCCAGTCTGGCCCTGAGGCATTCCTGCCCGGCGAGGATGGCGAGTCCCTGGGGGAGAGGGACGGCCGAGAAGGACAGTGGTACGAAGGCACTTCCCCCTGTATGCACACGCACACAGACACACACAGACATGTACTCTGACACAACATTTAAAATGAGCTTCATTTAGGTGTAATTTGTGCTCAACATTCATTCTGCATGAATCCGAAGCTATTAGCAACCCTTGTGAACCGTCTGTGTACAGAAGCGGCATTCTCTGTGTCTGTGTCTCTGTGTCTGTGTCTCTGTGTCTCTGTGTGTCTGTGTCTCTGTGTCTCTGTGTGTCTGTGTCTCTGTGTGTCTGTGTCTCTGTGTGTCTGTGTCTCTGTGTCTGTGTCTGTGTCTCTGTGTCTGTGTCTCTGTGTCTGTGTGTCTCTGTCTCTCTGTGTCTGTGTGCTTGTGGACTCAAGCGTGCCCTTTCTGCGTCTCTGAGCAGGACATCGTCCACCTCTGTGGAGCAGGCCAGGGAGCGCAGCTACCAGCGGGCCCTGCTGCTGAGTGACCACCGGAAGGACAGAGACACGGGTGAGACCGCGGAGGCCTGGGCACGTCTTGCTGGCTGCCTGAGAGGCCTTCCCCTCTGTAGACTGACTCCCAGGGTTGGCCCAAACCTTTTTAGGGTCCTAAAGAAAATGTAATTCACCTAGATGATGTTTGTCATCCGCCTTCCCTTTCTGGTAGGCTGATCAGATAGGGGCGCCCCCTGGTGGCCACTGGGCCCTAAGCAGCCATTTAGTTGAAACAGTTAATAACAGTTAATAACTGGTAATAATTGGCAGTGAAAATAGTCGACAACCATTCTTTTGATCGATGTGGTTTGCTGTGTAAATTGCGTATAATGAAAGCATCACCTAGCAAAGTTGGTGTGTTTAACCCAGTTCACAATTCACTCTTCCGTCTCCCCATTTGTACTTGTCAAATTTTATCACAAGGATTTCAAAATCCTGGAATAGCACTGTTAGAAAATGCCATCAAAATGCCCTGTACTGTGGAATACAGTATAATCATTAGCAAGCTCCGGATGAAGGGCATGGTTGATCTTTGTTTCTATGCCACTTTATCACTTTACACAGTGTAGGGAACATCTATTTTAAAGTTTTCACTGTGACTTAAATGTCTTCGTTATTTTTAAATAAAACTTGCGCTTATACTTGTACATTTTATGAAACCGTGTTTTGGTTTGACTGATTAGTCGATCGCTCACTCATTAATTAATCGATTATCAAAAGTTTTTTTATTTTTTTTTTATTTTTTAATCCTTAGCAGTTTTATATGCTGGAACTGTTACTTGCTTGTATGAAATTAGATTTTCTCTTCAAAACCTCCACTGATTGGATGCCACCTGAACTGTGTTTCAGATGCTGGAGATGGCGATGTTGCTGAGGGAGGGGCTCTGAGAGAGTGCCCCTCTCCCGGCTCGCACCGGAGCTGCCGCAGCCCACAGTCCCATAAGGTGAGGGGCCCCTTCGTTTTCACTGACATCCATCCTGGTGCTCCACACTACTGCACTGTGACTCACTGTTCACAACTGTGGCAAAGATGACTCACGGCTCCTGTTGCATCTCCCTCCCTCACTCCCTCCTCCTAGCCGTGCTCACCTGGGCCCACTGCACCTCCTCAGTTTCTGAGTCGCCCAGGAAAGGAGGAGGATAACGACAGCCAGCCTCGCACCTCCAGCATCCAGCTCGCCTGCAAGCCACCTGGACCCAAGTCGGTCCCTCTGACCCCCAGCAAGCTGCACAGTGGGCCCACCGGGGCTCCCCAGAGTCTGTACCCTGGACCTTCGCTGCTGCATTCCCCCAAGGCCCAACCCCAGGGCTCTCCCTACCGGAGTCAGCGCTCCTTCCTTCTGGGACAGCCTCAGGCTCAGGCTCAGGCCCCGGCTCCCACAGGCCCAGCAACCTACCCCCAATTCAACCCCCAGGGTGCAGGCCTACCCCCACCCCCGCCGCCCCCCGCTCCTCCTGTCTCTGCTACCATGTTTCCAGGCCAGACTGCCACCTCTGCGGGTTCCTTTGCTGGCTATAAGCCCACGGTGGTGGCCCCCTTCGCTGCCGGCTCCCAGCCCCTGATACAGACGCACCACACCTTGCATTACCAGAGCTCAGCGGCCCCACCCCCACCTCCCCCCCCGCCTGCTGGAGAGGTGT